CTTTTTGTTGGCTTGTGCAAATTCTACAGTTTTTAAATTCTGGTTTCTTCTTAATTCTAATTTTAAGGCGGCAAGACTTTTAGAATTCAAAGTTCTGCCGCCCGATGAGGCTGTACTGCCTCTGGCACCTACCACTAATCGCAGCAATTCGATTCGGATTCAAATCATCGCGTACGGACTGATGGTCAGAGTGATTTCTTAGTATTAATTTACCATGTTTAATGTGAATATGAACCAGTTTTCCTTAGAAATGTTCTCAATAAAAATATAAATAAGCTATAAAATTGTTTTATAGAATTAAATCTATAAATTGCTTTGTCATAATTTGTAAAATTGTTTGCTTTGCCACAAACACATAAATTTTTGTAATAAGAAAAATTGAAAAATACACTCATTTAAAAGTTAAAATTTTTGCTTGTACGAAACAAATGTACTGACTTTATTAGAAACGAGATAGTTTTCAAGAACAGGTTCCAAATTTGGGCCTAATCTCATTTATGAAAAATTTTCAGCAATATTCCACACCAAACGATTTTGCTCAGAAATGTTGCTAAAATATGATTTGACGGTAATATACAAGTATGGTGTAATATAATCATATTCCTTCAATTATCTGGAAAGTCAAGCTAACCGCAAAGGTAATTCTAAAAACATAAAATAGTAGTATTTTCTCAATAGTTTATCTAGTATGTTCTAAAAATATGTAAATAAATAGTGTCATAAATTAAAAAAAAAAAAAAAAAAAAAAAAAAAGTAGCATTTTATTTCTAGAGTATCTAGCATGTTCTAAAAATAAATAAATAAAACATTTTTTTAATAGATTATCTCAGTAAGTTCTATCATTTTCACTTACTGCTTTCGCTAGTTTTAGCTTTAAAGGCAAATAAAGTTGATATTTAGATTATCATTAATTTTATAGATATATGCATTCTAGTTGAATCTTATCCCTGCCCCTTGTTCAACAAAATCACATTTAATTGTTACGTTTACTCCATACTTCGTTTAGAAAAAATTTTAAATTACGCAAAAATTAATTTGATTACCTGAAATTCCTCATATTATTCAAAACATACAAATTTCAGTTTGCAATTTGAATTCCCCCTCGCTTTCTCAATGTTTAAAAATCTTACCTCATAATAGTACTTTATACTGATATCTCCTTTTATAATTTTACATCATACCCTAATACATGGCGGTTATAATTAAAGTTCCACTTTGAAATGGTCATAAAAAGAAAACTACTGGACCAAATGGTTATCAAACTTGGTAACCGTGTAATGGAGGTCATGGGAATTTATTTTCCGCGAAAAAAAGAAAGTTCGAAACCTCACCACCATGGGTTGAATGGCGCTGTATACAAATATTGTTAAACGAAATATGGGTCCGAATCTAATATAACCTTTCGTTACACGGGTTTAACATGTATACCCTCAAGAAATATTGACCTAAAAAAAACTACCATTTAAAGGGGTGAAAGGTAATAAAAGTTGAGTGCGCCATCCGTGTAGCGGAGAAATCCGTCCGTGAAACCCACAAGTTAGAGATTAGAAAATGTGAGATCGCTAATCACTTGCATTCTGGAAATCGTTCATGTTATCTACACAGTTCCATTGCATTCTCCTAAAGTCACCGTTTAGTGTGGTATGACAGCTAGTTTCATAATTGGACCATTTTTCTTTAAAGAGCAGTCGACAGCTGGACCTGTTACATGCACTGTGACTGCAGCTCGCTTAGCGTTAATGTTAAGACGTTTTGTGATACCTGAATTCAGCAACGTGGAATTTTAGAAACCATGAGTTTTATGCAGGTCGGGGCTGTACCGCACATGGTACACGTGTCACACAGTTATTTAGGAAACATTTCACGAATGAACGGATTATAGGCCGTCACCTCCTCACTTCTTGGTCACCAGACCTCAAACCCTGTGACTCTGGGCTATGGGATTATCTCAAAAGCACTGTTTATGGTGATAATATAAACAATTTGACGAAATTGAAAGATGATATACACCGAAATGTCCGTAACATTCATCCTGATATGCTAAGAGCTGCTGTTAAGAATGCAGTAATACGATTTAACTTACTTTCGAATAATGGTGGAGGCCACATTGAACATGCTTTGTAACATGTTTCAAAATCGATTAAACACATTTTAAACCGATGTCTTCATGTATCATTTCGTTTAACAATATTGCATACAGCACCTGTTCTTCCCTGGTGGTGAATTTTTTAACTTTTTATTTTTAGTGGGAAATAAATTCCCATGACCTCCTTTACACGATTGCCAAGTTTGATAACATTTGTGCCAATAGTTTTCCTTTTATGACCATTTCAAATTAGAGCTTTAATTATAACCACCCTACACATATTATATATATATGTGTGTGTGTGGGCCCATGGCCGGATTAAGTGTGGCCCTAAGTACTTAGATTTGTGTGCCCCTACATATGTTTAAGCCAGATTTTTTCTTTATTCTTCCCTTTCTCACTTTTTATTTAATTGCACTATACATTCCAAGCTAAAAAAGCAACGGGAAAATTTTTGGTGTCTCCTTTTAAATATCTAAGGACTTTTTTGCAGTGCTCTCTTTTCTTGATGCCCTAAGCATGTGCTTATATTGCTTAAAGTTTAATCCAGCCGTCAATAACCTCATACCCCCATAGACAAATTTTATCTCTGTAGGATTTACTACTGATATTCAAATTGAATTATAATTAGGAAAGCAAGAATTACTAACGAATAGCTTAATTTACTGCTTTTATATTTTTGCTATCAAAATGAGTTGCTACTTGAATAACAATAACAATATAATAGACATTCGAAAACAGAATAAATAATATAAATATGAATATTAACAAAACATTAAAGTTAATTTTACGAAATAATTAAACACATGCATATAAAATACTTGAAATAAAAAATAATTATTGCTCATGCAATAACTGGGCCACTACATACTGCAGATTCAAGTTTCCCTGTTTTTTGGAATTGTTGTTTATCCAAGCACTTGGGGGCCTGCATTTATCTGGAACGCATTTTGCTCCAAATCAAAAGTGATAGAAACAAAATCTAACATTTGGATCATAAAGTTTACGAGATCGTGAGCGGGAATTACGTGAATCCGAATCCCTGTGTCTTGATCGAATGGTTATTTGATCAATTTTTTGTTCAAGAGAGGCAAGTTTTTGCAACAAATCATTTACGGGAACGAAAGAGGCGTTAGCACTAAATGCTTCTGGTTTCTGATACATATCACTAATTTTATCTGCCACAGACGCTAACTTGCCTTCATCTTCATCACTAATAATATTACATCCGTAATAGCAACCGATATCATTTTCTACAAAATTGCCTTGATTTAATGTCACCAAGCTCAGTACCAGTAATCAAACGTTAATCAGTATATTTTCACTTTCCTTAAATAAATGTAGTAATCTAGTTTTAGCATCCGAATATTTTGTGGCACTTTCGTTCATTACAATATCCCAAATAATTTCGACGAACTTAGGTTCAAGTTGTGAAACTAAATAATTAAATTTCGTTTCTTCTGAAACGCTATTACTGATTTTAAACTGCGCTTTCACTTGAAAAAAAAAAAAAAAAAAAAATTTTTTTTTTTGTTCGCCTTATCAACCCCAAAATGAGGTATTTTTACACTCACCTTATGAAATTCCCGCGACTGCATCGATTCGAGTCATTTGTTGTCATTTCAAAAATAAAACAGGGTCACCAATATGTAGTCTTGCCTACTGATATTCAAACGGAATTATAATTAGGAACAGGAAGAATCACAGGAACAAGAAGTTTACTGCTTTTATTTTTTAGCTATCAAAATGAGCTGCTACTTGAATAGCAATAACAATAGAAACATTCGAAAACAGAATAATCAGGAATCGCTACTAGTTGCCATTCAGCGTAAAAGAAACATAAAATAAACATGAATAACTACTTGTTGCCATTCAGCGCAAAAGAAATATAAATGTGAATATTAACAAAACGTTAAAATTAATTTTACGAAATAACTAAACACATGCAAAAATATAAAATCGTTGAAATAAAAAATAATTTTTACTCATGCAATAACTGGGCCACTAAACCTCAAACTACTATTTATTTCTTTGCTTTTTATCTTCAGTTTCGATCAATAGATGGCGTCACAATTATTGAAATTAATTTTCATCTTGCGTTATTGTTTTGCTACTCATGCAATGAAATTTAACGCAACAGTGGCAAATATCTTAAAAAAAAAAGGGTTCGTATTATGTTCTCTCGAAATGACTTTAACTTCTATTGATGACGAAACTTCTATTGATGTAAATTTAAAGCTAACTTACGATATGCATAATCAAACTGGCTTGCCCCACTTATTAACTGTTAATAATAAAGAATTAAATAAACCGAAATCAAAATATGTATTTTAGATTTTTATTAGCATTCGTATGAAACTTTGTGAACGAATAAAGTTACAGTCTTTGTAAAATTAAAATTTTATTTATTATCTTTTTATTTTATAAAATCATGTAAATGAAAATTTTCCAAAAGCTTTTTTCTTTATGTTGTTGTTGAATAAAATATAAATAATACGTTATGTTTTATTATAATTTTTTTTTATATTTTTGGATATAAGTCCGCAATTAGAGTTTCTGTTAGAAACCAAAGCATTAAAAATTCGCTATTGTATTTAGTAATTGCCAAAATTCAACGTTAAGTGAATTAATTTCAGTGTGAGAGAAGATCAAGGTATTTTATGTTCTTAAGAATGAAAAGGGAAAATTAAGTGCCTTTACTAGGGATATAGTACTAAAATTTTAACAAATACAACATATTAATATAAATAGTTCGTGGAAAAAGACCGTGTAAACAGTAATCAGATTGAAAATAGACAAAATGTTTCTCAGAATCATAACAGACAAGCAAATAATTAAGTTAGCTAGGTAAAACCTGAAAAAGTGGGAAATATAGCCCGGAAAAACATGGAATTTATTTCCTCTTCTCTTCTTCTTTTTTTTTTTTTTTTTTTTTTTTTTTTTTTTTTTTTGCCTTATATAGGATTTAAGTTGGCACGTGTGCTGTTGCTAACATGTAATAAAGTTTGTTTTAATTTCGAAATCATATTCAAACATTTTTGGAAAAAAAAAATTTTTCCAAGAGAACAAGTGTATTTAAATGTTATTTATGATACTTTTTAAATATAAGGTACAAAAAACGTTTACTTAACATCCTCTATTCGAAGCACTCAAAGACAAGAAAAGACGTTGTTTTTGTTTCGCAGTCGTTTTGGTTGGTGATGCAACAACTATACACACCTTGCCCTTCAAATCATTAACTAGACCCTTTTTTTAAAGGTTGAATCACATATCGTATCATTCAAATGCATTACCTTTCATTAAGCAAAATATTTTTATCAAAAATAATCTAAACTCTAATAAATAAACATTTTTTAATTAATTATCTTCTAAAAAATTTCCATTTTGAATTAAGTAAAATTTAAAGAATGATGTTGGAGTAATGTTAATAACTTCACATAACAATTTTTAATATTATATCCACTTATGCATTTATTACCTGTGCATTTCTATTATAAAATGGTTTTAGTACACAATTATTTTTCATAAAACATTAATGAGCAGAAATCGACATTTGCGTTTGATTTAGATTTGGCAGGTGTTTTATAATAACCTTGATTTGTGTGACATTCCACAAAAATTAACAATAAAGTGCAAATTTAAGGACTTGAGTTATGCGATTGTAAAATTTTCAAAATTATTCCTTTCCATAATGTTTAAAAATTGAATTTTAATACTTTATTACATTACTAGCATCTCATCAATTAAAAAAAATGAAAGCTATTCAAAGAGTATAAAACGAATGAAATTATTTACATCAAAAACTGCACTTACTTATTTTTTCTGAGATCATGATAAATATAAACAACTGTTTGAAAGCTTTTTTCCCTAATTAAATAGGCCCACCAGCGGCCGAGCGATAATGTCGCTGAACACTGGTAGTTCGGTCCGAGGTTCGAATCCCGCGAACGGGGCTGGCTGCATGGGTGTTTTCGTGGTTTTCCCCATGTGTAACGTGTATACGAGCCAGTTTCCCTTAGAAAGTCCTCCACGAAAAGGCATCCCTCCCCTTAGGCAGATAGCCCTAGTGTGCTTTGCCATAATTAAATACACCAACACCCTAATTAAATACTATCAGCGATAAATCCGATTAAAATTTATTATTTTCACTATAAGTTCCGATACAAAGTACTGCAAATAAAATTCAAGTATAAAATTTAGTCTTTAGTTGTAACGAAACATATTTAAAAAATACCTGATTAATGTCTGGAAGTAATATGGGAAATATAAAATTGCTACTAGTCTTGGGATGTTTGACTAGTAATGATCAATTTGGTAATTTGGTCAAATATTACCAAACTGAGGTAATATTTGCTCGGTATATAAGCAAATATTACCGAGACATCATTTGAGAGAAATTAAATGGAAACATTAATGAGCCTGTTTTTTAAATTGAATTTAACCTCCTTTAAATGAGATAAGAATCCGTGACTTTATTTTAATAACATTAGTATGATGAATATTTTAAAAATATTATTATTATTCATTCTTTATTTCAATAACATAGTTATCACTAGAAAACAATAGCAGTGTATAATTATTAATCAATATTATATCCATTAAGTTACTAATAGAATATAACTTTCCAATAACTTGAGCCTTAAGATAGTCAATATTTTTAAAGATATTATCTTTATACAAACTTATAGCTAAGTTAGATATAGTTATTCAAAAGCAATACGAGAAAACAATCAAAGCAAATAAAAGATGAATACATCCAGCGACTTCCAAGCTAAAATTGCTGTCTGTGAAACAACGGTAAATCTTTAATGAGGTGTCTATAACTTCAGGTGAGTTTGTGCCAGTACCTAATCTGCTTGTGACCAGCTGTCATAGCCTCGTCCCAATGTTCTAGACCTTTTCCTCTGGAGAACATGTATGGGCCAACGACTACTCTACCAAGGCAGCGATCTAAAAATAAAAGTAAAAACACGATATTATGATGAATAAACATAATTCTTCTGAGGTCAGTTTACTTTGACACCCAAACCATAAATACTCTAAGCAACTTTGTGATTTTTCAGCAACGTATATTATTGTAGCAGTGTGAAATAAAGTTGCTTTATATACTGAGTTATATTTAAAGAAGAAAATTTATCAAACGCATGTAACTTTTAATATTTATATACCTTTTCTTCAATAGGTCTGTAAAGTAAAAATCTTTTGGTCGATTAAATATACTCATTTTTAAAAAATAATGGATGGACTAGTCGAATCATAGAACCGCGAATTTACAGAAAGATTCAAGATCCAAAAATTTGAATCTTCTCGCTTTTTGGATCTTCCGAATCCTGATCTGAAAACGGTCAAGCAGTTTAGTTTAGCTTGTATTAAAAATTATTTTATGTCCAGAACTCATTAAAACAAGTAATATAAAAAAATAAAGTCTATTCTTACTTGGGTCAACAAAGATAAATTTTATTTTAGTTACTTTTTATCAACATAATTAAAATTTTTCCGTTTCTAATTTACGAAGGTGCTGTACCATACATCATATCTTTAGTTACGATAAATAGGAATAAATAAGCAGGAATTGACTTAAATATGTGAAAAAACTGTATCATCCACTACAAGTTTAAAAAAATATATTTGAACTTGAGTGGATGAATAAAAAGTTTTTTATTAACGACTGGAAATTTGAATAAGATATAAGGAGAGTGTGAGCTAATAGTAGGAATTTAAAAAGGCCCTCACTCGTCAGAAGTGTTAAAACGGCCGGTAGCGGTGTTCAAATCATGGCGAACGAGTTGGTTGCATGGAATTTCCATTTTTTCCCTACGGGACAATTTTCCTTTAGAAAGTCCTGCATGAAAGTTTTCGTCTCTTCAGGCTAATAGTTGTCATATGCTTTGCCATATTCTAATAATTAACCAATTTCATTATACCCTCTACCATAATTTGCGGGAATTTTCGAGTAACTAGGGTGCTGCGCTTTTTCACAATTTCTCGAAACTATCTAATCTTCCTGATAATTCTGAACATTAGATAGTCAACTAATAGTGCAATTCTCAGCCACCATCCTCGTCACCAGCACAGCCCCTGTATGCTCTGTACCTGTAGTGAACTAATTTTATCTTAAGTCAGCTTATTCGGCTTTTCTTATTCCCTGTATATATTTATCTCCTATATATTATTTCCGTCAGCGGGGCTACCTGGCCGATATGCTAACTACCCAGTGGACCGGCTGCCTCGCTGTCGGTGGAAAGAAAGAAAGTCAACTAATAGTATCTTTTAGATGTTTCTAGCGAGTCATGCCACGGTGTATAAGCATTGCCTCTCACACTTCGCTCTAGCTGTGTACGAAGTGAATTACTCAGCAACGGTTGCTCAACTTTGAAATGATAATTGAATTTTGAGCTACATTCAAACACTCTTCTCAGCTTGTGTTCGGAAAATGAACCATAAGATTTAAGTGTTATAATTACGCACTAGATCTTCTAAATTTCATTTATATCTTTTTTAGTAAATACAAATGCATCTCTGAAAACCCTACTGCAAAGTTGGTAAAACGCAGATTTCTAAAATTTCTTTAATTAAACATTTTGACATTAAGTAAAAGCTCTTTGTCTTTTCTTTTTCTTCTTATTTAAAGGATTCTTGAGTCCAAGATTTGAAAGATATGAGAAACATTAGGATTTGTCTAGGATTCTTCAGGAAATTTAGGATTCCTATCGCCTCTAAATAATCATAATAGAGAGTTATGTGCTGTAATAAATTCAGGCACTCTAGAATAACGGAGTAATAAATGCACTAATGTCGAAAAGTGAAGTATAAACATATGTTACCGTGAAAGACCGAAATTGGAGAATGCCGACTTTCACCGGAGAATGTCAACATTCACCAAATACGTCGGTGAAAGATCGAATATTGCATTACATTCTTGTACATTCGGACCCCCATGTCGTGTATGTCGACAATCACAGATATGTTCTGGTGTAGGTCGAAAAGAGAGTCATAAAGTGTCATAATAGTTTAAGTTGTTGCAATAAATAAGATTTGAATTACATAATTTAGTAAGTTTTTTATTACTACTATTTTATTTTCTCATTTAGAACGTACTGTATAATTAAGTAAGTTTTTAACTTTATAACTGTATATTATTTAACTGTATAATTAAGTAAGTTAATTATTTTTCTTTCTCATTATGAATGCACTATGTGTTTTAAGTTCTTATTCTAAGTCTCAAGTGTGTTTTTTCGCGACTGAATTACGGAGAAGAAAATATAATATTCTTATATGTTCAACATTCACCATTAGTACAAGTTGAATGTCGACATTCACCAGTGTAAGTCAGAAATAAAAGTATTTGGAAAATATTCCAGACATACGTAAGCGATTATGTGAATGTTGACGTTCACGGGTGAAGGTCGACATTCTACAGATTCCGGTGTTTCACCGTAACATATGTTTTATAAAAAGCAATAAATTTCAAATACATTCCGAGAAACAAATAATCAGCTTAGATTAAATTTAAATTCATAAAATGCATATTCATAGATTTACATAGAATTTGCGGCTCTCAAATCCTTTGTTACTAGAGTGAATACAAGTTTAACTAAAAGCTCAACAGAAAACTCTTTGCAATTTATAGGGCAATTTATTTTCAATCGAGCAACTATTACAAATGCAGATATTACAGTTTTTCAGCATGATTAATCGAAATTTTCAAAGCATGATATTCTAAGGATTTTTTCGGTACATTTTCTCCATGTTTTTTAAACGTCAACGGAAACGAATGAATAATGGAGAGTTTTTCCAATTTCATCTTCCTTCGGTTGGGAATTTTTTGTAAAATTTCTACATTTAATAGAGCATAATGCACATATACATAGTATATAACTGCATTTCATCAATATGCAGTCCTTTAAAGTAATTTTCATTCTTAAGAAAAATAACAATTTCGAGATGAAATTTATATTTAGGCAAAATTTAACCTTAAATTGATGTTAGTTTTGTTAAAAATATTAGCTAGGGTAAAATATATATTTTTCTTTCTGAAATCAATTTCTGTTTGAAGCTAAATTTCGCCTAAATTTAAATATTTTTTTTATTCCTTTGAGGAATTAAATATACCAATTTCAATCTTCTTTAATTCAAGCAACTTTTTTTAAATTTATGTTTACAGAAAGTCTTAGCGAAATCTTATTTTCAGGGAGCTGCATTTACGATCTTTCATTCCTCTAACGAGTAAATTTTGAAGCTTTCAGCAACCACCCAAGAGAACTATTTTTTCTCTCTTCTCCATGATTATTCTGTGAACCTGTAGTTGCACAGAATCTTCAAGGTAAGAAAGGAGCTTTATCTAGCTTCTAGTGTGATCGTAAACCAGCTATAATATTTGGTAGAGATGTCACGTCCGTCGTTTAACGAAGGACAAGAACTGCAGCTCTGCATTTAACAACACAAACCTTCGAAGGAAAAAATTTTCTTAAACTCTTTGTTGAGATATATTTTGGGGCAATTCGTTGTTTTGTAGACATTGTTACTTTCGTTCTTAGAAAAGTGTCGGATGATATTTCCTAAAACACAAGATAGAAAAGATTTTTTATTAAATTTTTCACGGTGGAATATACTGAATTTATATTGTAAATTTAACCGAATGGGAAGATATTTCTAAAACATGGCGAAACTAAATTTCATAAAAGTACAAACACTATGTCATATTCTTTTTATATTTAGAACTATTTCTTTCGGATATAAAAGTAGTTTTTTATACATTTTTACAAGCTTCTTTTTTATTTCCCTTCTTGGTGTATAAGCATTGCCTCTCACACTTCCAGATAAAGATAATATTAATAGATAAAGATAATATTAATCTTAGTTTTAATGCGGCGCACCAGCGGCCGAACGGTAAATTCGAAGAATAATGGTAGTTTGACCTGGGCTTTATTCCAGACGAACGGGCTCGTAGCATATGCCTTTCCATGGTTTTTCTCATGTGTCACGTGGTTAGGAGCCAGTTTTCATAGAAGAGTCTTCCATGAAGGCATCCATTTTTTCAGGCAGAAAGCCCTCATGTGCTTTGCCATAATAAATAAACAAACTAACTTTTTAATGCTTTTAGTACGATTGGAGCATCTAGAAAAGTCCAATAAAAGTAACTAGCCGGATTAGCAACAACAATATACGAGACACTCACAACTAGCATTATGAAACAGACGTTGTTGAATAAAGAATCTTATTAGTAATAAAAATATTAATAAAATAGAATAATTCTCACATACTGCTAATGAGTACCCACACATTTATATTCACTCAATAAAGCAATCCATCATTTTATTGCCAGTTTATTTGTTTATTTTTATTTCGTGCAATCTCAATAGCTCTCATTCTATAAAATCTTAATATGACTGAAGAGACAGTTCAGATTTATCGTAATATAGTTGAAACAGTTCGAAGATATGATATCATATAGATAGGGTGATTCGCTACTAGACCGACAAACTTGTGTGGGGGGTACATACACGACTCGGAATCACAAAGGAATGCAAATGCCGTAGTTGTGAGCTATGGTGCAAAGAAGCAGAGGGAAAGAAACAGAAACAGCAAGATATTAATGGGACCGAAAACATTCGATTGAAAAATAATACAAGTGTTTGAAACTACTACAACAGATGTTTGAAATTACGAACAGAAGTCGTCTGGCAGGCCTGACAACGGCGCTGCATGGAATTCTTTACGTTCTGAAAGATTCTTGACATGTCACGTATCTTCCCGGCAGCTATAGATATTCGAGTGACGAGGTCTCAACTGAAGGAACGGGTGTCTCTTACATCCGTTCCTTCAGATGAACTCTTCATGTGGCCCCAGGAGAAGAAGTCCATACATGATAGCTACGGTGATGTGGCAGGCCAATAAACCGGGCCAACATGACCTACCCACCGCTGTCCAATGATTATGTCGAGCTGTCG